AGAGTAAGAAATTTTTTTGGAATTTTGATTATTTTATTGGAGTTCCGGGTAGCACCTCAAGAGTTCTAACGATAATTATTAAGGTTCAAAGCGCTCAGACCAATATATAACAAGTTCTCGCTATTTTTCGTATCACCGATTAAGAAAATATTCTAAGTTCCAATAAGAATAAAATTTTTTTAGAATTTTAATTTTTTCGTTGGAGTTCTGGGTAGCACCTCAAGAGTTCTACGAATAATTCTAATGATATTTTTAATTATTTCCGACGATTAAGCTGTTATCGTCAATTTTGTGATAACGTTTTGTGAAGTTAGCACCCCATACTTTCAATAATGGATTTTTTTGTCTAATTCGCCGGAACTATTTATAAATTTTATGGAGAACTCTAGAACTCTTTGGGGTGCATTCAGAACTCTAAAAAAAATTGATTTTTTTTAAAAATGGGGTGCCAACTTCACAGAGGTCAATCTGCATGACTTCGACGGAAAGTTTTATTAATTAACACGTAATGACATTGTCCAATTCCGCAACGATAATAAGATTAGAAGCGGGAAGCACCGGCTTTTCACTGTCTGAAATAGTGCTATCGAGAAACTTTGGGATTTCAGTCATCGAATTAACGCAAACGCTGAAACTTGCTTTTCCTACCAGAAGTTGAACTGGCACGTCAGCTGGCACTAGATCTTTGACTTAACAAAAGTGCAATCTACTTGCGGTTGTCATTTTTCTACTGCTTTTCGTGAAAGTTTCTATTATAATCGTGAAACAACGTATAAAAATTACTACTAACGCGTGACTAAACAAAATCTGATGCAAACTGCTTACATAATATAAATTTTAGATTTTTAATTTTAAAGATTTATAATATTGAATATTAAATTATATTAAACTTGCAATATAACTCATAAATGCGCCAGACGTATGCATAGACATTCTACAATGTGTGTCTTTCAATCAGCATTGAAATGATCAAATACATCTATTTGCGTGTTCGTTATGATGCACTATCACGTTCTCATCATTCACACCGCTATCGTCACGATTAAGCATGGATTATTTGTGATATGACAGTTATCCAATAATACAAATGATTGATGAATAATATGATAAACATAGAGACGCGTGATATCTCATGATGATTTCGACAGCATGTGTGGGGTGTCAATGCGTATTTAATTAATTTTCACAGTAGTTTATGCATAATCGCGATGTGTAAATTCTCTTATAGAATGATGAAACAGTCATTGAGTAATAAATACAATAATCTATAAAACGCGCTGTATGTCATAATTTACATCTCATTGTACTTAATTTATGATCTAATAATTGCAACTAGAGCGGCGCTAAAATCATAACAAAATATAAACTTCTTGAAAGATTAAGAAACAAAGTAATTACTTAAATTGTTTTATTTATCTAACTATATATGTAGTAATTAATTATACCAAATAGAAAAAAAAATATATATATATATATATATATGCTTCTTATTTTAGAAAATATTAATTTATTTTTTTTATTTACTCGATACAGTTTATACACAAATGAGTAAATAAAATATACCGAATAAATTATAAAGTGATTGCTTTGTTTCTTAATTTTTAATAAAAGTAAATGTAACAGCTGTAATATGGCCAAGTTGTAAGTTGGCAATGCTGCGCTGATAACTCACCGAAAATCAAGTTCCTTCGAGAAACTTAGATAAAGTCTGGCGACGTGGAATTTCAGACGATAGGGTGGCTGCTCTCCGTCGACGTTCGTCACACTTTTGTCGGTGACATTGAGCTCCTTGCAGAGGGTGCTCGAACCCAGCCAGAAACCATTACCAAAATAAAATTGTGAAGCGTAACGGCCACTCGCATCCAACACTGCAAAGAAAAGCTACGTGAGGAAATAATCTCAGTTATCGGGATTGAGCGAGGGAGAAAAAGGTATTGCTTCGTGCCTATTTTATCGCGTATCTCTCGTGAGAGATGAGAAAAGGATTTTTTGAAATCGCAGGAAGCCGTAAAGCGGGCGTGCACCTGCGACAAATTTGCATGAATATTATACGAGCGACGTTTTCTTTCGGAAAAAAGTACTCTCGCGATCTCTCCAGTTAGAAACTATCCGGATGCTGCACTTCGGTTATTTTATTACTTTTATTAGTTTGTAACTTTTTTCCCGTCTTTCTCTTGAAGCATCGCACTCGTCTACTTCGAGAGAGCAATAAGATTCTGTTGTTTCAAGTTCCGAAAAACTCGATTACATGGTTGTCGACAGAAGGTTCATTGTCAGTTACGTAAAGCGACTTGTGCCAATCGCGAGAGTAGAAAGCGCAATTGGGCTGCACATGCAGACGTCCGTGTCAGTCGATTGCCATCATAAGATCGTAATGCACGTTTTTATAATCGTATAATCGGCCTGTTATCCTAAAAGTGATGAATTCTGTGCGATAATTTAATAGCAAATATTGTTATTATGTAAACAAACTTTTACAAATTTTAACAGGTTTTATCATAAACGACATTATACAATAGAATTTATTGTATACTTTTGATATATTATTATTAGGACGATAATATTAATTCCGACTCGCGTTTATGTGTCAAAAAATTTTTTTTCACTGAAAATTGCCAAACGTAATTTGAATCTGTATCTATATGTGATATATTTCGTAATTCGAAATATTTATAATTATATTAGGAATTGTTTTGTGCCAATAAACCGCTATTGCACTTTGGCGAAAAAATTTGCAATAATGGCATACTTCGTCCGACTGATTAATGGTGATCTGGGTGTAGAAATAACGACTTGCTGTTGCATTATGACAGCTGCGAGATCAGGACGCCTAAAGAAATTGCACAATGCAAGTCCATGGAGCATTTGGAAACAATTCCTGCAACAGCAGCGCGAAACCACCGATGTAACTTTTTATTGCCTGCCGCACGGCAACTTGATAATTGCCTAAGTTTCGCTTATTATCATTGTGTACTTTGCGATATTTTTAACGCGATTATTTTTATCGGGCGCATACAGTTATTGTGAACTAAATTTCGAATTTAAGTGCATTTGAAAAAAATTTGTTTGCGTTTCTAATAATTTTTAAAAATTTCTTCATATAAATACGCGAACATCATTATTTTACTACAAGAGATAGCGGTCATTAATGATGTCGAGAATAAAAAATTACTTGTTATGATTAGTGTCGCTTTCTAAGTATGTATAATTGCAGCCGCGCGATCCTTGATGGTCTCATTTTAAAGCTGCTATCACATACGCCCGGATTGGCGGTGCAAAGAAGCACCTGTCGAGCCTTGCGTGTCACACGGTTGCGATTATAATTTCGTAATTTTCATCGCGATGCGGTACGGTGCAGCGTGGCAATTGACCGCTGGCGCATCCGTCGACGTTATTACTGCGGCTATTGATAATGCGGACGCAACTCGTGGCCGGAAATCACTGTAAATCCGCGCATTGAGAGAATGTGACTTTGCGGCCCGCAGCCCGTTGCAACTCCATGCTTTCATCTGGCCGGCCATTTCAGCTTCTCGAGCCTTTCTCGCTTTCTAAATCACGGCCGATCCGATAATGGCATTTCAATTCGCAGCGACATTATTACTTAATTGCCAATTATATTATTAATATAATTGGCAAGATAATTTATTGATTCTCATTCATTTAATTTACAATTAGCTATGTATTACAATATATTATTATACGTACAAATTGTTCGGATAGAACATAAATATTTCTCAATAGCTTTGTTATTAAATTACGAGAAAAGTTTTCACGTCCGCCCAGAAGGAATTTATGTGAAGTGTCGAAAGGGAAATCTTGTTTAGTTAGGTTTATCGGAATATTCGAGACTTCGAATAGCGCGTAATAAATATCTTTATGCGTAAATTTTCATGAATTATCCTATATAGTATTTAAGCTTTTACGAGCGTACTTAAATATATCTATAGTAAGTTGTCATTAAGCGTAAGAAAACTTTATGGCTATTCTATGTAAAAAAATATTTAATTGTGTCTTTTAATTATTCATAAATTATTCAAATGTAAGAATATTTTATTTAAATGTGAGTCTCGAAGATTTTGAATACTTTAATCAAGCGACTTACTTTTTGCGGCCCAAAGTTTTCCGTCTTTTAGCGCACCGAGAAATCGTTCTATATCCCTTCGGCATTCACCCTGAAGTTTCCCGGGCACTCTAGCCCACCTGAGAGGGTCGTAAAGATCAGCAAGCCATTGTATACTGTTGGCCGTTTGTTCGAATTTTTCTTTCATAAAATCGACATCAAAATCTCGGCGTTCCTCTTCATTTTTGTCAAACATCTTTAAATAGTTTTTCCAGTCCATTTCTGGATTATTTTTACTAAAAGAAATTAGAGGCAACCGTTTTCTAGATTCGTTTTTTTCTTCTGCATATTCCGTTATATTAAAGCTTGGTACTTCCGTCTCAATCGGATCAACTTTATGCAGTTTGCTTAACTTGAGAATGTTTGATTCTTTTTCCGCAATCACTATGTAGACGATACATAGGATTGCAAGGACGTAATTCAATAGATGTGCCATGCTTCCTTTGTTTATTGTTATTTTGGAGAATTTACTTGCGCTTTTAGAATTAATCGACTAGATTCTTAATGAGAAAAATCGATTTCATCGATTTAGGTTGTTCCAATCTTCGGATGCCATCTTATCTTTCGATGAAATTCCTCCGACAGAAATTGTAATGCTGTTGCAATGAATGTTTACTGGATCGAATTCTCGAGCATACTCGAGAGATGCGTGAATGCGAGAAATGCCGATTTAGTATTCAGAATTCGGAGAATCACACTTTCTCGTGGTGTATAATTTACTGATTTTGGCAAATAAACGCGTGCAAATCCGCTCTAGATTGCAACTGCAATGATCAAGATGAACTAATCTCAGCATTGATTGTTGCAAAGAAAATTAAAAGTGTATAAAATCGTTACTTTAATGATTCACAATAGTCACGCAAAATGTTTATCGATAAGTGGAAAAGTCGTTATTTAAAAAATTATTATTATTGGTGTTGAAAAAATTATCATATTTAATTAACGTAATAATTATTTCTATATGATATATAATAATTTTTTTTTTCATATATACATGTAGCCTCTCGGTATTAAAATTGATATTTATCAATCGTAATGTCTTTTCGAAGTTCACTATTTAGATTCTAATCTTCCGATTAAATAATTAAAAATTTTGATGTGAAGCGTTACACAGCGCAAGAAGAATCTATCGGTCTTGGCACTTTGCGATCACACGATCCGCGCACGTTTTCCCACTGATTGGCGAGCACGAAAAAAATCACATGGAATTATTTCAAAGCAAGGAAGAAGTTGCTCGCACATATGACAGACTAAGAATCACGCACTGAATGAAGCGAATAAAGTCCGCAGCAACATTCACTCGCAGATAGTGAGTTCCCCTTTCTCTTACGACGATGTACTTTACCGCCGTAAACGCATTTCCTTCTCCAAGTCGCGAAGAAATTGTCGTGGCTTGGGCGATTTTTTATTGCTGGAGAAGGACGTGTCAGATTGAGTATAATTGAAATAATAATATATTTTAACCTTAATAATTATTAGTAAAGTATTTAGAACTATCACTGTCGTTATTACTAGTATTTCTTATTGCAAAACGCTTTAATAGAAAATGCTTTTTGAGTTTCTCTAACGAAAGTAACTCTTTGAAATGCATGAGGTGTATTGTAATTTCATGGAAAAGTACACCTACGATCAAACATGATCCAATTCTGATTATTAATCAACTTACATGATAATAATGAAGAACGGACTAAAATTGGTAGTTATACGTGCGGATATAAATGCTGTCGCTTACATAAGCAACAACTTTCCAAATTTCTAAATAATGCAGCTTTTATTCACTCTTTATTCCGCGCGTGTTAAATATAACAAGAATTATTTAAGATGAGTTGCATAAGATAAGGTTTATTTTTTTTTACGCTATTAAATAAGCATTGAAGAATTTTTATGTAATTCAGGAAGTATTATATGATAATGTAAATAAGAAGAACAGCTAATTAATAAGAGGATCATGTGGATTTTATTTCTAGCGCACTCAACTTTAGAAATCATTATGTTACAGTGCTTATTCTCAGCTGTTGGACACCCTTTAAACTGTGTGTGTGGCTCCAATTATAGTTTCAATCCATTATTATTATTATTACTGATATTAATTGGTTAGTACACTATGTTATTTGAGGATCACGCATTTGTTTCTGAATAGGTGTCATTATGATAATGTCGCTTTCCATTATCAAATGCGTTCCGTATTAACCGTGAAATTACTTAGTGAGTAATAAAAAATTAAGCAAACAATTTATTTGATGAACAGATTAATCGTAACATAACATCGACAATGCATTTTAAGTGCGTGAATTGGAATTTAAAACTTTTATGAATTTTTTTTGTAAAAGCAAAGGTACTCAATATTTTTATCGGTAATAGGCTTATCCATTATTCAGAAGGATCTTCTCGGTAGGGTCTAAAATAATAAAGTAAATAAAAGCTTAGGATGATCGATCTCAGTTGAGAGATTGGCAGCGAATAGAGAACGTGTCACGTGTTCAAGAGCAAGAATCGACCAGACATTTTTAAAAAATAACGTTATCTGAAAATGGAAAGAACTTTTTCCGAGAGGCATCTAACTTTACTCGGCTTTAAATAGGAGAAATATGAATCTAGAATCTGGTAGCGAGTGTAATAACGAGACGCATCTTGTGTGAACGAAATTGCACCGATGTTTGAGTTTTCTCTTTTGTTTGTGGCATAAATCTGAATCTTTCATCGCTTCTATTGCTTTTGTTCTTATGCAGAATTCTTATTGTGCTTTCAGAAGAAAGATGAAGATATGTGAGATATACATATAAAGATATGTTCGACTGCAGATACGTTTTTTGCGATAAACTTTCTTTATACCGTATGTTTTATATCATATTTTTTACCTTTTTCTTTGTACCATCGTGAAAAATTGATGAGAATTGCTCCCGTCATTGATGCAGTGACCGTATAATGTATATGATGTCGTGTTGCAAATCGGTTTTCACTAGATAAACGGATGTTCTTCCGGTCGTTTTTCCAGCTTGTAAAATCTGTTCAATTTCTCATCGTAAAACATCTGTCTCACTAGAGTGACAATAAATAAGTCGTTTCTTATTGGTTATTGGAAGATGCCACAGATACTGAAAATTTTTGTACAGTTAAATTGTGTGTTTATCTAAAATTTTTTTTTGATGTTTTTAAGATTGTTTTGTTTAAATGCTCGTGATTAAAAATATACTCGATTTTTCTTATGTATTCTGCTATACATATTCCAAAATTAAGGTTTTTTTGTATTTTGTAAACTTCTAATGTCTCGCGATTCTTTGATCTTCAGCAAAAATTAAATAATCAAACGTTCTTACATGGCATTTTTTTACTTTTATTTAAAGTTTATTCAAGGTTAGTGCACGCAAAGTTGTTACAAACAACTTTCAGCGACTCTCACCAGTCCTCTGCCAATTCTCACACATCGAAAATTTTTGAAGTTTCTCCGAATTTCCCAACTTATCTCTCTTCATTACTTGCTCACCTTTACTTCCATCTTCTTCTTTTCCTCGGAAACGATGTCTGGTAAGATCCGGTTGGGACTTATGCAACTGAGCTTTCTACATGATCGACGGCATGCATGCGCGGTCCTAACCGGTCCTTGCTCAGGAAACGGGAGATCGGTTTCGAACTTTTGCTCTCATTGCTTTCGATACATCGCGAAAGTATTCGTATATACTACGTGTGGACATTGGGCAATCTCTCTCTTTCAAGTCGCCGATGCCTTCGGCTTAACGAGCGCTTATTAAAGTGATATTTAGGTGAAAGAGAAACACTCCACCTTAATTTTAAGGATGGATTCTTAAGCCAATTTGAATCGTATTCTCAAATGAGATATAAATACCTAATAAAAGAAAGTTGATTATTTAAAAATTAATGTAATATAAAAAATAATATTAATGTTCTTATACATATATATATTTTTTATTTATTAGAGAATGCCATTTAATTTTCCAGACAACATGCATGTCTTGAAGATATCTAAAAGACATCTAAAAGATGGCAGAAAGAAAATGAAGTCTTTTGGACATCTTTCAGATGCCTTTAAGATGTGCGTGTTGTCTGAGTCGTAAAGCATCTAAAATGAATGACAGTCATAACTTTAACTGACATTGGGGTCACGAAGAAAATAGATATCATATGTCAACAGGAATTTATAACGTAATGATAAGTGCTTGAGGAAATTATCAGTTATATTTCACACGCAATATATACATGATTATAAGATCGATGATATCTAAAGATCAGTGATCAAATATATGCAATTTTTCATTACAAAATCTAAATATAAATTGTTTATTTAATGATAAAAATTTATGTATCATTATATCAAGGATGTAAAAAATTCTTATTTGTCTGATTGCGAAACTATCAGTTTTTTAGAAAGAAAAAAGTATAATAATACTCTCTCTACTTTAATTATCTAGCACATTCTACATATATTACATTACGAAACTTACGTGTTAATAATGCGGAACGCAAATAGAATAATGCCTGCATACGCTTAAGTGAAAGTCAATACATACACACGGAAAAAGCTTTCTTCGTCGATTGCAAAGGCATTGTCGATGATTTTCTAGTGACCGACGTTTTGGTTGAAACTGCATATCTATAGTCAGTAAAGCAGATCGCGTTTAAATCTTGTTTTAAATGTTTCTGTTTGTAGGTAATTCATATATTAATTATAAATATTTGTATAAGGCAATAATGCAGTTTATATTTTACAGTAATAATAGAAAGAAATCTTAAAGCAGCTGTCTCGACGTTTCTTTTGGGACGCTTACCAATCTATGTAGTACTGCTATCTATGTTTATTTTATAGTTGGAACTGCATAGCCATATCCATTTTTCAATATTGCCGATAAACGACACTATCGTTTGGTGCATGTTATATCGTGTGTTCATATTATATTTCAAACATACAAAAATATTAGAAAGTCATTCTCAGACCACTTTTTAATAATAATTATGAGCTAGAATTAAAATTAACTATATAATTTTTCTAAATTTATAATTTTTATCTAATTATTTTTTCTATTTTCTATTTTTGTAAAAATTTACTTTTTGATATAAAATTCTCTATATACATACATTATAACAATGTTCATTAATATTGCAATAAATTATTATTAAAATTAGTACATTAAAATTATGCATAATATTTTATACTATATACATTAATTTAAAAAATATATTAGAATCTACATTACTATTAATGAATATTTTATTTATTTGTTTATAATATTGTTCTTATATAACAATAGGTCAAAATAATAATTTATAGATGAATTAAAAATATATTCTATATTTAAAATTGTATACAAGTATTTCTGCGCTCTACACGAAGTAGATTGCTATGTCAGGATGGCCGAGCGGTCTAAGGCGCTGCGTTCAGGTCGCAGTCCACTTCTGTGGGCGTGGGTTCGAATCCCACTTCTGACAAACTTTTTTTGCTTATAAAACGTCACTCTGAATAATTATATCATTTTTTAAAATATTTACTTATAAGAAAATTTATACTATTTATATGATTAAATTTAATTGAACTTAATTATATATTAATATACAATATGATTCTTTAATCATATATTTGTATGCAACAACCTATATTTTGTTGTTCCAGTCATTGTTTCAATTGTTTA